ACTGTACAACAGCTCTCAGTAAAGGCAGGGAGACAATAGATAATAGCAAAATGGACAATTTCTACATTAATGTTGGGCACTGTTTTACTTCCAATTTGCACTCCACTTCCATTTGCACTGTTTACTGTTTGCCTGTTTACTGTGCTACTGTTAATTTTACTAAATATTATTATAATATATATATAGTGGCGGTCCCTTCCTAGCAGGCAACATAACGCCACGCGTTGCTAAGGGCGGCCACCGAGTGAGTTCGCCAAATATGCAAGCCAAGAAAAAAAAGTATTAATGTAAAATTATAATGTCTATTTATTTGTTTTTAGCAGGTTTTTGCCATCCCTCTATCCTACAAAAAATACTTTGACGATAAAAATGAGAATTAAAAGCTTAAGTAAAAGAAATGACAATTCTGACATGACCGTTTAAGCTGTTAGCCACCCGTCACGGTCACAATATGGCTAGCGCAACACAGCTTGAATGCGCAGTTGGTCGTCGGCCTGTGTGTCGACGGGTTAGAAAGCTACAGTCATTGGAAAATGAAACGGCAAAAGCATCCGGAAGAGAGCGTTCACTTGGGTCTAAGCGCAGAAAATAAGAGCAGAAGATATTAGTGGAAGAAGAAATTTATCTATTCACTTGGGGTGAATTTGAACCCTTAATTTGTTTACTCTTTGGTATACTTATATTTTGATTTAATAGGTTATTTGCAATCCAATTTTAAGTATTTCTAATTTTGCCACACAAAGTCGCTTTATTGTTTAGTTTAATTTTTTGTTTTGATTCTTTAGTGTGCCACTTTTTGTTCTCAGATTTGCACTACTGTTGAAAATATGTTTAAAAGTTTATTTTTTGTATATTTATTATTTATATTTAAATAACAGCTTTATTCTTTTGCACATATTTGTATATTGTTTGTATTTATCGATTGTTAAATAAATGTGCAATTCTTGGAACATGAGTTCTTTTCTCGTGGGGAAGGGGCGCTATCCAGTAAAGCTCGCCTAGCGGCACCAAATTGGTCCAGGACCGCCCCTGTATGTATATAATATACTATTATATATATATATAATATATAATTATATATATATATAAATATATAATATTTTATCTTTTATTTTATTTTTAATCGGATAAATAAAGTATTTCTGATTATGATTCTACTTCATCAAATATACTAAACTTTTACTGCATTAATCTGGCAGCTTTAGTTACTTTAGATCAATAACAAGATAAATAATCAATATTATAGATTGAGTAACTTCATGAGTAGCTCTCATAAAGTCATTAAAATAAGCTCCAGATGTTCCAGCTGCAATTAAACTGATGAACATGTTAATGTTATATAATATATTATGCTGCATCATCAGTACTATATGGTGTACAGTACTTTGGTACTTAATATTAAAGAGTAAATGCAGGACTTGTAACAGAGTATTTGTACACTGTGGTATTACTACTATTAATACTTCTTCCACCACTTCATGTGTCACATTCAACAAACATAAAGTGTTTTAATTAAGTTAAAGTTAATTCAGAAAGTTTAAATTATTTTTAAAAAATCATTTAATCTTTGAATCTCACTCCAAATAAGCTACAAATGATTTACATATAAACTGTTTATATCATTTTAGAGTAATTTTCAGACTAAAGAAAGATGTCTTTTATTGGTCTAATAAAGACTGTCTCATCATCAGTTCAATAAGAATAAATCAATAACTATTCATTTAATTTAATTATGTGTTTTTATATGTTTTTGCTCTGAGTGTGTCTGTGTTTTCTAAATAAAATAAAAAAGTAAATAAAACAAACAAAGCTGAGAAATTCATATTATTATATTTTTACATATTTACACTTTTTTATTTTGGAGGGAACATTCACACGACTTCCTGTCTGATTGTGTTAATTTGCGTGAACTTGATGCTCCGCCCCTCAAACCCTCCTCCTCTGTCGGGCTTCCGTCAGGTCCTAACGCCCTCCTGATTCAGAGCAACAATACAAGACCATTTCATGTGTTTGTATAAAATACACTTAATATTCATTAATGTTTTATTAAAAACTTCATTGAGTCGAGAAATATTTCAATTAGCATCATCTCATTATTCTGTTTGTTTATTTGATCAAATTTAAATCAATATTACAAATAATGAAATCAGAGTAAGAGCAGTTTTTGTGTCTGTGTAATAAAGGACACAAATAAAACCATGTGTTCGTGGCATTGACTAATCTTTATTGTTCTCTGTGTAATGAACAGCGCTGACTCATGTCTTTGTTTGGTTTTTGGGTCATTTCAGATTAAACTGTCTTTAATGAGTCTCCGTTAATGAGGTCGACACCTCATTTGTATGTTAATGAGGGGAGGGGCTGAGAGCAGAGCGCCCCCTACTGCCGGGAACACTGAGGTTGTTTTATTGTGAAAGGAAGAACCCTGGTCCTGGACTCAGACAGACACACAGACCTTTATGTTGTTTAGTTTTCATATTCTGTATTTAATGAATGTGTTTGTGTCATTAATAATCTGTACTCACTGAACCTGAGACAGGACACATTGAAAGACGTTTAAAGATGAAGACATGTATCCATGACGACACACACACACACACACACACACACACACACACACTCAGTCAGGGAGTTGTACCCTTTAATAAAGTCTCGCTCTAATAACTTAATAAGTGCTGTTTCCACTGAGCTCAGTGCTTCTGTGGTTTCTTATAATAACAGACTGTATGATGTGAACGTTAAAGAGGAACTGCTGCTTTAAATGTCATAAACAGAATACATCTGTTATAATAGGAGTACAGCAGCTTCGATCTGAGGACAGAGTTTGTTTATTTTCCATCATTAAAGATTCACAGCAGAGACGGAACGAGAGTGAACAAAGGCTGCAGCTTTCTTCTGTAAGAGCTCAGAGAAGACGGGTCCGAACAGGGGACAACGCTCAGAGATCAGAACTTTAACAAGAGCCCACAAGATTTTCTGTCTCAGTAAACTGAATGTGTTTGTTTGTTTTTGTGTGTGTTTGTTTGTGTTTATTTGTTTGTTTGTGTTTGTTTGTTTGTTTGTGCACTGTTGGTAGGACGTTTAATGGTTGTTGGACTAATAATAACAATTATTATTAAATATTATTATAATTATTTGTTTGGGTTTAAGGACATGTTGCTATGACAACCTTTCCAGATGGCTTTTAATCCTCAATATTATAATGTGCAGACCTCGGTGATCCAGTATTAAGAACAGGAACAGATCTGGACAGAGACATGAATCTGTAATGAGGACAGAAATAAACAATAGAGACAATAAAATATTAATAAAGACTTTAGAACAAAGATGTTTCTGTTGATATTTATGGATCTTTAATGGACACAGGAGAGACCAGGAGAGACCAGGAGAGACCAGGAGAAAGTCTGATCTCAGCTCGTGAAGAGGTCGAGCACTTTGGTTCAGATCCTGATTTGGGTTTATAATATTATAATGCCGCAGTTAATGCCAGTGAATCGTACTAAGATTGTCTGTTTTAGTGGAAAACAAATTAAATATGTTGTCAGAGAACATTTTACTTTCAGAATCAACATTTTTACAACTTGCCAGGTACATTAATAACATTTCATTATTATGTTTATAGAAAACCTAATTATGTTTCTCTCTCAACGGTAATATTCCGTTTTTAGCTTTTTAATGTTTAATTAAAGATATGAACAATGAAATGAGCTCTGCTATAATACAAATAATCAGGGTTATCTCCTTTAGTCAGATATGTATTTCATTAACATTGAGGTATATATAGTACCAGATGATCAGATAATCAATATTAAAGGACTGATCAGGAGAACGTTACAGTGAGAAAGGAAGGCTGCTTTCCATCCATGTAACATCTGTTAAACTCATTCACACACACAGTGAGCTCAGCTGTCCACTGCTGCTGATTTAATAAAGTCAGTTAATGAAAAAACCTTCACGAGCTACAGATTTACGGTGGGAAGGTCCCGCTGTCTGATTACCCACAATGCAGTGGGACATGAGCTGAACAGAGATGAAAGAAAAGCTGAAAATATCTGTTAATGTGATGAAGAACCCCAGAACGACACTCGGACTCTAACCAGCCAAAAACAATGAGAGTTTAATAGTTTAATCAGAAATATATGATTAACGTCAGTAAATGTTCTCAGAGGTTTCAGACACACAAACTGATGATATTCATAAAACATTCCTCAGTCTGCTTCAGGAGGACAAGGCGGTTGCAGATTTCAGACCTGATGAGTCGATAAGATCTGGTTCAGCTCTTTGTTCTCTGGTATTTACCTGAGCTCCGTTATCTGCAGCTGATCTCTGGTCAGTGAGTCCGACTCTCACTGAGCGTGTGCAAACAGCTCGCTGCCATCCAGCAGCGTCACATGAAGATGATAATGATGTCAATGACCTTGTTTCCACCAAACAAACCAAAAGTGTAATTGAACAGACTGAAGGACGGATCCGGTTCCTGCTGTTCAATCTGTTTTTCTGGAACTGGAAGAACCTTCATCCAGTCCAAGAAGTATTTATTTTTGTTAAGATATAAAGGACATTAACATTTACACAGCATCAGGAGCAGTTTGGGTTCAGTATTTTGGACACACTCAAGGACACTTCAACAAGCAGCAGGAGGAGCCGGGAATCGAACCGGCTTGGAGGACGACCGGCTCTGCCTCCTAAAACACAGCCGTCCTGATGTTCTTCTACCACTGATCCTGTTTCTGTCGTCTGTTCATGTGAAGTGGAAAGGAAAGACACACACACATTGTACAGCCCCCCCCCCCCATCTCCTGTTAAACTGGTTTTGTGTCGAGGTCAGCAGGATTATCCCAGTAACACACAATAACACACAGTAACACACACAGTAACACAATTTTATTTGTATGTCACCAAT